CTTAAACTCAAGGAGCCGGTTACTTCCTCAAACCTGATCAGCTCTAAACCCGGATCTGCCTAGGTCCTTGAGCAAGGTCACCTCATTAAAGCATGCATGCAATGTTCCATCAAATGTCCTCTAAGCAGCATGGGGTACGCTTGGCAAGGAAATTTCGATGTGTCATTCCTACTTGGTAATGGCCCTCAGCAATATGCTATAAATTTATGAACTGATTAAAAAAAGTTAAATAGGATTGAGCTAGATGTATATTTTATTTTTTGACTTACATTTACAGAAGTCATTACAAATCTGTCAAAGAAATATCATCATTCATTTTTTAACATTGTGGATGCAGAATTATTTCCTTTAAATCTTGTAATAAACATACTAAGAAAATGAAATATTTCTCCTGCTAAAATATAAACTGAGCTACAATAAAATTTTGATGACTTTATTTGAGCAAATAGTGATTGATGAATCCTACAACAGCAAACCCCAAATCTGCTGAGTATGAGGCAGCTTTTAAGGGTGAATGCCAAAGCAAAGCAAAGAAAATGTTTGCTTATAATTCTGTAACTGCATAATCCCCTGGAAAAGCCCTATTTATATAAATTTTTTTTTTATGTAGTGGCTTCTCATGGGTCAATTAATCCTAAGTTTTTTTTTTTCCCATTACTATAGGCATTTAAAAGTCCCAGTTAAATTCACTTAGATTTGCAAATCAAACCAGGTTAACGTAAGTTGTAAAGCATAACTAGCTTTGTCTGATCAGGTATTTTTCAGGCTTCATCCCCATCTAATTTTTGTGGTTAGATTTCAATCTCTCCAACATTAATTCAAGCTGCAGTTCACTAGTATGGAGAAAGCTTTGGACCACTTTAAAAATAGGTATAGAGGTAGGTTTAGGCCAAACAAATCAATTGGTCTAGTGTCACATTCATATAATCCAAATGATACTAGATTGGATTTTATAATTGTCTTTATTTTTAGTAAATCTATACTAAATATTGTAGTATTGCTTATAAAAACATAGAGCACAAAGATAACAGTATTTAAGTTTGAGAGAAAACCTTCAAACTTTGCTTATCAACTCAGGTGGAAATCATCACCATGTGCTGCATCTTTCTAAAGCAAAAGCCTGAACATCTTTAAAATAAACTCCTAGAGGGAA